TCCGCAGCTGCAGCACCGCACGCTGCCGCGCCACTCGGGGGGCTCCTCCAGGGACGAAGACAAGAGCAGGGTCAGTCCTCAGAACCCCACCCGAAGGGAAGCCTTCAGCCCACACCATGCTAACCATATCAAAAGCCCACGCCGGGCTGTGTGGGATCACTCGGCCTCCATGTTTATTTGATATTGGTTTTTTCAATGATATTGAAAACATAATTCAGGCAGAATCACAGGTTTGTAGGACCAGCAGGGAGTAACAGACCCTCGTCAGGATGTGCAGCCAATCAATGTACCTGTTTATTTATATACACTGTATAACCACATATGGTGTGTGTATATATATGTAGCGTGTGCGTGCATGCATTTGTGCAGCGGCGAGCTCACGTCATGCTTCACCGTGTCTTCATTAACAGAGCGATCAGGCCGCCGCCGAGGTCGCCCACAGCAGACCCCCCATAAGGGACCCCGCCAGGGACAACGCCGCGTCTTTTCACACGCAGCGGCAGAAAAACGAGGTCCGACATTCTGCCTGCACCACCATTCCCCACCCACATCCAGTCCTTTCCCAGAGAGCGCGGATGTGGGTGGATGCTGCTGTCATGAACTGCTCTCTCTCTCTCTCCGTGCATCAGATGCCTCTTCATTTTCTCTGTGTGCTTTGCTTCCCCTTTTTTAATGTGACTACTTAATGACTTGAGTCAAGCTCGTCATCCAAAGAAAGACAAAACAAAACAGCTCACGTCCTCTGCAGATTTATTACAATAACAACTAGTTGTGAATCAGTAAGCCCTCTTTTTTTATCGTCTTTTCTTTAAGGTGAACAAAAACAGCCATCAGCTCAGGTAGGAGGTTTTGGGGCTTCTGATCTGACCGGCTCTTCCTCTGTTGTGACTCAAGGTCGGTATATACCATGAGCAGCAAACGGAAGACGGGGGCTCGTCCAAGGAGAACCGCAACATCTACAGCGAATCCATGCCGAGGAGGGTGGGCAGCTTCTACAGAGGTGGGTTTAGTCACGTCTCTCTTTCACATTCCGCTATCACTGCATGAACCCACTTTAGAGATGTGGTGTGAGGAACTCCTTTGGATCTGTGAGCGTTGGCCCTCGGCTACTTGGGTCCCTAACGCGTCTTTGGTAACCGTTTTCCCAATTTAAAGGGACCCATTGAATTATCTTAGAAGGGGAATCACTTGTGCAGCGGTTGAGTTCATGGTGATTGAAGAGCACGAGGAGAAGACTGAGTCTGTCTAATCACATTATTGAACATCTCCGTGTCCAAAAGGCCAGAAACGTTTGTTTATTTTACACGTGAGGGAAAGTGAATCTGTTGTGTTTGTCGAACAGTCCCGTCCCCCCGGCCCGACAACTCCTTCCACGACGGCAGAGGGCCGAGCCGGAGCTCGGGCGACGGTTTGACCAACCACTCCAAACGGCAGCCGGCATTCGATCCCTGGTAATTACCTCCTAAAATAAAAGATCTGCCCTCCACGGAGGCAGAGAGACATGAGAGAGAAAAGACTCTGGTGGTCTATTTTTATGCCTGATATAAAATGTTTTTTTTCTCATTTGTCCATAACTTTCACTTTTTGTTCTTGTAATACTACCTTTGCCCATAAGAGGCAGTAGTGCACCACAAGCCTGTGTTCTAAAATAGGGTTAAAAGCATTCGTTTACCCCAGCAACAGATTAGAGCAGGGGTCTCAAACTCCGGCCCACCGGGGAGTTCATTGCGGCCCCCCGGCATACCATCAGCGCCACCCCCTCGCCTGCCGTACCGTTCGCCGGTCGGACCGTCAGCGCTGCCCTCACCGAAACTGAAATGAGTTTGACACCCCTGGATTAGAGCAGCGTCCTCCGGTTCTGCTGACGGGAAAGTGTTGTTAAAGCTGCGTTCTCTCTAGTGACCAGCAGGGGGCGACTCCTCTGGTCCCATAGGAGTCTATGAGAAAATGCTTCTCTCTTGATTTATTCTCTCACAAATTGGTTCCCCGTGCATTGCTCACACGACAACAGCGGCCTCAGCAGAAGTCTCCGGGTGTCACTGGGAGTGGAAACGCGTGGGGGACGTCTTTAGTCCGGACATCACGCTCAGCAGACCTTTTCGTCTTTTGTCTTTTTTCAGGACTGGCCCGGACACGGTGGTGCTGAACCCCTCCGAACCGTCCAAAGAGAAGGAGAAGCAGGGTTTCTTCAGAGCAATGAAGAAGAAAAAGAAAAAATCTCAAATGGTAACTTGTGTGTTTGGAGGGAAAGCTTTCGCCAGGACGCCGTCTCTCACGCACGAGGTGTCAACACGTCGTCTGTGAGGCTGCGTATCTACTATGTTTTATAAATCTTTCACGGGACAGCAGGGATGTTCTGAAGTGTGTGAGGTTCTTCTCCACGTGTCGCCACAGCAGACGGAGCAGAGGGTGCTGCTGTGAACGCAGTTTAGACGCGCAAAATGACAAGCGGAGTTGTTTGTTCACTCAAACTGATGTAGACGGTTTTAGGTTCTTAACTACGTCCACGGCAGAACTTTGCTCCACCTACTGCAGGAACACACAGACTCTGTGGAGAAGAACCTCACACACATGCTGCCATTCATCATCATGCCTTCTTGTTGCCGTCATGTTGCTTCTGCATTACAGATGCGAGGCCTCCCATCATCAAGAAATGTCTGTTCCCGCTGTTTAGCCCGAATAACGGCAGAACGCCGCTCACCTCCTCACGCCGCCCGCCGCCGCCGCCCGCATTAACCACGAACGACCCGCTTTGCTGATTCATTTTAAGCTTTTTCTTTTCAGGGGGTTTTGCCGTCACGGCTTTATGAGAACGGGGGACGAAATGTATCTACTCAAAACGAGTTGTCAACACCAACGAGTGAGACCCGTGTTTACGGGAAATATCCGTCAATAAACACACATCTATTGGTTTTTAACCTGAACTGTGACATGAATGGATCCAGCTGGTTGTGTGTATTTTTGGGGGCCTTGGTTGTAATTTGGAGCCCCCCCCCTCCCCTCAAAGTGTGCAGCTTCCCCTGATTTCATTGCACAGGAGAGTCCCATTTTCAAAATTGTCAAAAACCTGACTTCAGCAGGAAAACAGGTGCTTGAGGGCCCCATCTTCCCCTCACCCGTTCTATTTATACACGCCGGTCTGTTGGGACGCCGAGAGGGGGGGTTTAACGCTGATGACACAACACAAATAAAATGCAATCTGGAGCGGGAGGAGGCAGGCAGTGAGACGCTGGGCTGGTGGGATAACTGTGTTTGCTGCATGAAGAGCAGATCATCCGTAAACCCTGCAGTCGGTGGGGAAGAGCGGAGTCCCTCGGATCGGCGAACGCTTCCGTTTTTCTTAGTTTTTTAATGACTCCACTGCACCAAACCAGGCTCATCACCAACGATGAATTCAGACTCACGTTGTTGGTAAATCAACACGTGTGAAGGAGGAATGTCCTTAAGTTTCCTTAAGTTTCCTTAAGTTTCCTTAAGGACATTCTTGCGATGCCGTATTTGGTCAATTGTAGCGAAAGTCAGATTAAAAATGTCTCTCTCGTTACTTTGGTCGTTGATGATAACATGTTCTGTTCTAAAATCAAGACCATTTACTTCTGATTGCAAAGTATAATTTGATTTGGTCAAAAACTGCAGGAATAATAAACGACAAGCGTCCTGACAGGCTTCAAAAAAAGAAACAAAAGAACTGTTTTTAAAATGTTTCTTTCTAAAGTTTTGACTTTTTGTTCTTGCAAATTGTTGGATTTTTTCTCTGATGAATTTACGATTTTAATCTAACATAAACCCCCCCGGCCCCAGATCACCTCCCTCCTTTTGACCAAAAGTACAGTGGCCGAAATACGACGGCGGAACCCTGTCATTGTTGGGTTGTAATAGACGGGTAATACAAAGTGTAGAACAAACATGCCACATTTACAAGAGACAAATAACCTTGTTGTGGTTCTCGAGGTTCAGTAGAATCCTTGAGACGCCTCACAAGGTGACACAAGGTCCAACATAAGTACTTATGTGTAACGTGTGTGTGTGTGGAAGGTTCCCAGTGGAGGGGTGGACGGCGTCCTCCAGAAGTCCTCCAGGTCCTCGGGTCACCAAAGCAGCCGCCACAGGACCCGGGACAAGAGCAGAGACCGGGACCAGGACCGGGACAAGGACTGGCCGCCTGAGAAAATGTCCGACTCGCACACTTCTGTGAGTCGCAGCGGGGACAAAAGACAAACCGCAACCGTGTTTTCTTCCCACGTTTTTGTTCTCTGACGTCGAGCGTCTTTCTTCGCCTTCCAGAGTCAGCCGCTGAGGTCTCTGCGCAAACTCCTGCACCTCTCGTCCTCGTCCTCCAACCAGGCGTCCCAGCCCGACCCGCGCTACCAGCCGCTGCCCAACCCGGCCTCCTCCGGCCAGGGCGGCTTCCCGGAGGGCCGGGGCCACCAGGGGGTCGGCACGCCGCAGCTGAAGAGCCGACAGGCGGCCTACGCGATGCCCGGGCAGCTGGAGGCCGGCTGGCACCCGTCGGCCATGGGCCGCCCCGAGGGGAACCCCTACCCGGAGCAGATGGGCATCAAGGGGGGGCAGAACGGGCACGGCTTCGGACGCCCCTCCAGGTCTCGAGTGCCGAACCTCAACGACCTGAAAGAGACGGCTCTGTGATCCGTCTCCCCGCCTCCCTGTCTGTGGCTCCTACACGTCCACTGCTGACCCCCCACGCACACGCACACATACACACACACACACACACACACACGCACACGCACACGCACACAGATATCAAACCTTCCGTTTTAAACACTGCTTGCAAAGGGCCAAAAGCCTTTTTACGTCTTCATTTTTTTAAGCTTCCATGTTTGATAGACTTTATATTATTACCTCTCTAATTCTGGTTTTAATTTGTATTATAAGGTCAAATATATTCGTATAATATATGCATATGTACATATATATATGTATATATACATACATACAGAGATGTGTAGATTTTAAGTGCAAGTATTTTTGTTTCTATTCGTTATAGGAATATAGTACATTTTACTGCTTTGTATTTCCTAAATACATTCTAAATCATTCTAAACAAATACAGTGTAATCAGTTGTTACCATGGAGACTGGGAATGTCCCCCAGGATTGTCCCTCTTTGTCCAAGCTGTCCTCTGGATGTCCAACCAGCCAGAGGTGTCTTCTTTTTTCTCTTTTCAACGTTAAAGGATTGTTTTTTCTTGTTTGAGGGATATTTAGTTTTTAATTTATTTTTGTAATGCAGCCATTTTAGACCCTTTGTGCCATAAACGAGACATAAATCCGGACCCGCGTCGCCCCCTGTAGGACGTGATGAAGCGCTGCATCTACTGTTCTAACTGACATGCTTCTACATTTAGGAACTCACTTCTCATGCACAGTTTGTGTCAATCGTGGTTTTCGTATATATTTTAAACAAATATTACACAGAAAAAAACTCTGGTCACTCCAAATAGAAGACGCGTACTAAATGTTCCTTGTACAGAAAATACCAGCAATCCTTCTGGTAGTGAGATGACTTCCTGAGATCCTTATCGTGTAAAAGTGTTGCAGAACCCTGATGATGTACTAAGCAGGAGCGACTTCTCGCTATGAGCAAACATATATATGCATATGAGGTGCAAACATCTCAAGTTGGTTCTAACGATGTGACCATCAGATGATTTTACAGGTGAAATTACAAGTGGTTCTACTTGTTTAATCACATAAATACATCTCCAAATGCATAATAAACTAATAACTGCAGTAAAACACATTTATACAACATAAGTTGCAAGTTTTTTGGTCCTAACTATTGTTAGAAAGTGAATTGTACAGCATCTAGAGGGACACGAAGGTAATTCTGGGAGAACAAGTGCAGTGGTTCCCAACCTCATTCGGAATCCATCACATGATGCGTCAAGTAGTACTTCACCGCCCGTCATGTTCCAAATGTGCTTCTTTGATCTTATCCTGAGCTAAATGTTATTAAATGTTGATCATAAACATATAGAAATATATTTCTATAAATTATTATAGACTCTGTCACCTGGATCTTATGTTCCCTTGTTCATGTTCCCTGGGTACCATGTCGCTATGTTTTCATTGCTCTATGTTCCTTGGGTACTATGTTCTTTTGTCCTATGTCCCCTCGCTACTATGTTCACTGGGTCCTATGTTCCCTGGGTACTATGTTCACTGGGTCCTATGTTCCATGCGTACTATGTTCACTGGGTCTTATGTTTCCTCTGTACTATGTTCTCTGGGTACTATGTTCCCTGGGCAATATGTTGTACTATGTTTGTCCTACGTTCCCTCTGTACTATGTTCCCTGGGTACTATGTTGTACTATGTTTGTCCTACGTTCCCTGAGAGTAGCTATGTTCCCTGGGTACTATCTTCCCTCTGTACTATGTTC